TCTGGACCTATTGGCATGGGCAACTCTCTAAAAGCTGAGTTAATGTCAATGCTACAAGGACTGAAGATAGCTAAGCAACTAGGAATGAGGCATATTGAGGTTGAAGGGGACTCCAAGGTGATCATCTCTTGGGCTAAAAACAATAGAACTACTCCGTGGACTTTCAAACAAGTGATAAGGGAAGTGGAAAAGGTCGCAAGGGAGGTAGAGGGTGAATTTAAATGGGTCAGAAGGAGTGCAAATGGGCTAGCTGATTATCTTGCTAAACAAGGGGCTTTGAGGCAACAATTGTTTTGGGCTGCAATGTAAAGAGGGACATAAAATATGTAATAGTGTGGGAGTTCGAATCCCATACACAAAGTTGTAAAATTTTAAATCTAATATCAAATAAAATTCTTCTTTGCTGATCAAAAAAAAATGTCATATCTCTACTTAACCTCTTGAATCTTTTCATTGACTCCCTATATTTCCAAGTCATTGTTTCCAGTTGATAATCACCTTCAATTTGTAGTCTATCATAGTTTAGATCTCTAGTAACTTGTAACCCTTGTAGAAAAGCTTGGAACTCAGCATACACCGAATCCCCTACATCAATAGGACCTGAAAAAACAGTAATAATGTGTCCAGTATTTTTTAACACTCCTATACCATCTGGCCTTCAATTTCTAAGACTGCTTCCTGCAAAATCCAACATGGCAAAACCTTCTTCTTGCGGACTCCAATCTACAATCGGTTTGTCTCTAACAGCAGAACTTTTAGCTACTGCTTCCCAATTTCTCGATAAATCATCAAAGGAGAAGTCTGAGAATAGATCTGAAGATTTAGCCCAATGTATAGCCCTATTAACTACAAATTCCAACATGGCCTCTTCACTTATTTGAAAATTCTGCTATTCCTTTCTTCCCACACCATCCAAATCATGCAGCCTGATCACATCTCCACATAACTTTACCTCTTCTCTTTGGTCAATTAAAGGTCGTAGGGTCAAAAGGCTACCTATCTATAGGGGCACACTCCACCTGTTACCAAAAAAGTCAAGATCTTTTCCCATATACCTACAACAAATGGGTAGGAGATTAGAAGGTGGTAACAGCTTTCTCCATTTTCTTGCAGAGGGTACACCAGTGTGGGGAGATACACAAATGAGGCCTTCTTTTTTGCAAGACATCCATAGTGTTAATTTTTCCCTGAAAGACTTCCCTACATAAATCCCCAACCTTGGGAAGAATGGGTTTAGATGAAATTTCTATCATAGGACAAGGCTGAGGGGTAGGGGTAGGACACAAAAAGGAGAAGAATTAGGATGAGGAGTCCAAATACGACCATCTGGCTTAGAAAAATCCAAAAAGATGTAAGACCTCTTTGGACCTCATCAGACAATGATTATATCAAGCTAAATGTAGATGGGGGCAGTGCTCGTAACCCAGGCCCTTCTGGTGTTGGTGGTCTGTTTAGGAATAAGGATGGTGGGTTTATTGGGCTATTCTCAAGTCCAATTGGCATTGGAGATTCATTAAGTGTTGAGGTTTTGGCTGTTATGGAAGGTGTACAAAAGGCAAAAGATATGAATCTGAGCAAATTGATTATAGAAGGTGATTCCAAGCTAGTGGTGAATTGGCAAAATGGAAGGTAGTGGCTTCTGGTTATTCAATACTGAGAGGAAGAAATTCAAGTTGTTGACACAAGGTATGGGGGTGAAATTCAGTTGGGTTAAAAGATCTGCTAATGCTTTTGCTGATGAGGTGGGAAGAAATCAAATGTTTTGGGCACAATTGTAATCTGTAATGTATTTCTTATTTTTGGTGAGGAAAGGTAAGAAAGGTTACCTCTCCTCTTTTGTGTAAATTACTCTAAAATCAATGAAATTCTGTTATTGATAAAAAAAATCAAGGATTTGTAGGAGTGAGGCTGCCATAACAAACTCATGGTCTCAAAAATCTCTCCTTAGGCCCAAATTCCAACTGAACTCGGTCAATGAGGAAGACAAAAAATGGTGGATAGGTTCTGCTTTGAACAAAGAAAGAGAGTACAAGGAAGGATAAAGATCAAGGTTGAGTTACCAATCCAAAGGTCCTCCCAAAAGAGAACTTTATCTCCAAAACAAACATCATACCTGGTTAGGCTCAGTAATTAAGGAAGCACTCCACAAATGGCCTTCCAAGGATAAGCCATAGTCACCGTTGAGGATACCCCAGCATCCCATCCATTGCCTGCACTTCCATGAATGTTGCCAACAACCTCTTGCCACAATCACCCCCTCTCCAACAGCCAATGCCACATCCATTTACCTAGCAAAGATAGGTTCTTCTTCCCTAAATTCTGTTCTTTTACACACTAAATCCCATTTGATTGGATAGTCCTTCTTTCCTTCCCCAGGCTCCCATAAGAAATCTCTCATCAATTTTTATAATTTTTGCACTTCCCTTTGAGGCATCCTAATGACTAACAAGTAGTAAATTGGCAGGTTTGCTAAAGTAGATTTTATCAAGATTATTCTACCCCCAAGAGAGATGTAATTCCTCTTCTACACTGTCAATCTCTTAGTATAAGTCTCTATTATTGGACCCCAGAACCTACTCTCCTTTGGATTATCTCCTGGAGTCATACCTAGATATCTCATTGGCTAGCTAATAATAGGACAGCCTAGGGACTCTGCTACCACAGTCAGCTCCTCTTGCTCAAGGTTTATTCCAGCCGCACAACTCTTCTCAAAGTTAACCTTCAGCATAGAAATATATTCGAACAGATCAATCACCCTCTTTAATTGCCAAGCTCTCCTGGGATCTTGCCTATATTAATTTGCATTTGGAATTTTCTTTTATCTTAAAACTATCCTTCTCCAGTTTAAAATAGCATTTTCTTCTATTTTTCATTTTAACCTGATTTTTTTTTCTAATTATAATTATAATTTGTTATTGATAAGATAATATCCATGTATTTAAGGTTCAAGGTGATGGAGTCATAATAGCCACACCTACAGGGAGTACAGCTTACTCTACAGCTGCAGGAGGATCGATGGTCAGTATACATTTTCACTTGCCTAAGTTTGAATTAGTTGTGAAACTTATGAAGTCGTTTTAAAGCTTGAGTGACCCATATTTTTATTTCAATTAGCAGGAACCTTTTTCTTTTGAGTTTTGTTTTTTGATAGGTAAATAGGTAAAGAGAATTTTATTAAGAACTAAACAGAAAGTATACATACAGGCATCCCAAAAGGAGGTGTGAGATGCAACCTCAGGTATAATCATCTTACAATTTAGCCCAAAACATAGAATCCTTAAAAATCCCTTTCTTAGCTAGAGTCTGCTAAGCCATTAGCCAACCTCCTTTGCTACTAAATTCTTACAATCATATTAGTGGTCAACATTTTGAATTTCTTCACGGCTTCTCTGTAGGTCCAAATAACAGAGGCTGGATTTGTTAGGTCCAAATAACATGGATGTGTCCATGTTTATCTATTTTGCAAGCTGCACCCCCTGCAGGACTGCTTGGAACTCAGCAAAGATAGAGTCCCCTATACCAGCCAGGCCTGAAAAAATTGCAAATATTTTCCCTCCATCCCTTATTACACCCCCTACACCTGAAGGCCCCGGATTTCCAAGACTGCTGCCATCAAAGTTAAGCTTTAGAAACCCTTCTTCTGGTGGATCCCATTCTGGATTAGGCTTAACTTTAGTTTCTGAATAAAGTGCCACCTCTCCCCAATTCCGCCAGATATCATCAAAGGAGAAAGGGGAGAATAATTTCAAAGTTTTAACCCGATATATAGCCCTTGTTTTGACGTAGTCCCAAATAGCCTCTATAGTTCTTTCTTTGTCATTGTAAATAGTTTTTCCTAAAGACTTTTAACAACCGAGCAAGAAACAAACAAATGAAAGCAACCCTCTCCACTAGCATTACATAGGATACACCAGTTTGCGGACAAACAGAGATAAGGCCTTCTGATTTGCAGAGCATCCAAGGTATTTAGCTTTGCATGGTGGACATCCCAACAAAGCGCACTAACCTTTGGTGGGACAGATTTGACCCAGACTTCTTTGGAGGGGAAAGAGGGGGATGAAGAGTCTAAGCACGAGGAGAAAAAAGAGGCAAAGTGAAAACACCTCTGGGGTGAGGGGTCCAAATTCTAGAATTCGATAAAGAAGGGTCCAAAGTAAATGGCTCAAGAACTTTCAGAAGCAAAGCAACCTGTTCAAACTCATGATCTTAGAGGTCTTATGAAGCCCAAGTCCCAAGTAATATCAGTGGAAAGGGAAAATGAAGCAAACCTTTGGATAGGTTCATTTTTAAAAAGTGTCAAGGAATACAAAGAGGGAAAGAGGTCCTTAAGTCTAGAATTACCAATCCAGAGATCTTCCCAAAATAAAACTGTCTCAAGTGCAAACATTATACCTAGTAAAGCTTAAAAATTGAGGAAGAATGCCATGAATGGCTTTCCAAGGTGACAACAATGTCGTTCTTTGAGATAGACCAACATCCCATCCGTTGCCTGCTTGCCCATGTATGCTTTCCACCACTTCATACCACAGCCTAACCCTCTCTAATGGCCATCTCCACAACCACTTACCCAACAATGGCACATTCTTCTTCCTTTATATTACCTGAACTAGACCTGTCAAAAAGTTGACCCAACCCGCGAACCCAACCCAGCCCAACCCAAAAAAACAGGGTTAGGGTCTCATATTTAGCTACCCGAATGTGAAAATGAACCAACCAGGCCCAACCCAAAAAAACTGGGTTGGGTCATGGGTCAACCCGCTGACCCGATTGTCAAGTCTAATTGGGATTATTTATGCATTGTTAGAAGTTTCCACTCTTTAATTTTTTTTCTATTTAGTCTTTACTTTTTATTGTTTACTCTTTAAATTGTTAAATGTTCAAGTTTTTTACTTTATATTTGGAATTTTAAGGTTAATTCTTTTAGTTTTGGCATTTTTCATATAATTTTTCTTTATTTTTTAAATTTAAATTATTTTTTGGGATGACCTGAATTGACCCATGGGTCAACCCTAACCCGAACATTTAGGGTTAGGGTCTAGCATTTGACAACCCAACCCGAAATCAACCCGAAATACCTTGACCCATCCTGAACCCGACCCACCCAACCCAATTGCCAGGTCTAACCTAAACCCAAACCTCCTTTTTTTCTTTTGAGTTTATGTTAAATGAAACAATTCTGTAATTTTCTGCAGATTTCTTTCTTCTCTTTTTATATTGGTAAATAGACATAAACTTTAGGACATTTTGTAATTTCACCTTTCAAAAGTTACGTATAAATAGTTAATACCCAGAATTTATACCGAGAAAGTATTTGGGTACCTTGTTTGTCTCATTTTGAGTGCAGTACTTTTCTGCATTTGCAAAGTCCTTCCATGCTATTAGATCATCTAACTCCTACGTACTTTTGGAGAGTGAAGAAGAATACAGACTCCTTTTCCCTTGATGACAATTGAAGAGCAGTAATCTCTTGATGAAGGTGGTAAATATTGGCAACATTCTTCTGTTGATAATGCATCTTATGGCTCTTTCTCAAACTATAATAGTAGTATCAAGTAATGAAAAACGTTGACATATCTGAGATTACATAGAATAAGAAGGATATCATAATTTAATCCTCTGATTCCTATTATCATATCATTCATATGAAGGGTCTTTTTGATTTGGCACACAGGTTTTCCATGTTAAATATCCCATTCTCCCATGACTATCAAGTACATCTTTGCAGTTCACAAATTAGGATTATTCAGGAAAATTGATTTCATCTAGTTTAACAGTTGCCATCTGCAGATTTGGATTTTCTCATGGTAGGCCTAATTACAAGGTGTTGGTGCTCATATTCAAAATCTCCTTATTCCTTAAAACCTCCAAGAGACATCTACAGCAAAGCTCCAGATTGGAAAGAGCACAGCTATATTACTTCAAACACACCAATAAATACACAGCCACTACATTCACCTTTACTACAACATTCTCCAATGCAGTGAACAACAACTGAGGTTTGTCATAAAAACATCCTAAAATGGAGAAAAAAAAAGAGGAGATGACAGCAGTTATGGTGAAGGAAAAACTTCATTAAAACATCAATACTTGATGAAATTTTGCAAAATAGGATTTGCTAGGTCCAGAAAAAACAGATGGGAGTAAAAAATATATTCCCATTCACCAAAAATTTACTAATGGACCTCTTTGATCCAAGAAAAATGCATAATATATATTCTGGAGTTTCCGAGACAAGGTTCTGAAAAAAAAAACTTTTGTTCAATTAGATTCCACAATACCTTAAACAACCATTCAGATCTTGCTTTATCAAAATCTAGGGTTTATATGTAAAGCCTGCTGACATCAACAGGATTCTAGAAGTGCTGAGGGAGCATCCCAGGTTCTTCTGTTCTTGCCATGATACCGATGAGGCTGGTTTAGAGGTGTTAGATTAGAAGAAGAGAGGAGAGAGTGAAGAAAAAGGGGAGAAAACAAGAGATTGAGGGAATAAATGACTTCCTTTTTCCTACTCAGATGTGTTGATATATTTTAAGGATAGAGTTCCAGTTAGCACTATACTGTATAGATTTCATTTAGCATGTTTTGAAATCAGTTAGTTAGTTAGCCTCCTTTTTTAACTCTTGTTATTTTTTCTGTTCTTTAGTGCCACAGGGCACCAGTCATAACTTTGAACCCCATAATTCTCTTCGTCTCTCTTACCTTTTCTCTCCTTCTTTCTTCTCCCTTTCTGGTTCTGTTTCTCTGATATTTTTAACCCAGAAAACATGGTATCAGAGCAGGTTTTCTGGGGTTAGAAACAGTGCAATAAAAGTCCTCTTAGTTTCTTCTTCCTAAGTCTCTCAGTTTCTCCTCTGCTGTGGATCGAATCTGATTAGGGAGTGGATCGGACTGATCTGAAGGGTTTTCTCCTAGGTTCTCTTCCCTTCTTTCTTGGTCGTGTGCCAAGAAATACCTAAAAGAAGGGAACTCTGATGCTGTGAAGGCAGGACTTCTCAATTGTGTGGATCATGTGATCCTTTCTTGTACCCAGGTAAGGGTTTTTTGGAGATCTGGATGACCTGCAACCACCGTGGTATTTTTATTTAGAACTGTGGATCAGGTGATCCTGTTTCTTGTACCCAGACAACTGGGTGGTGTAGGTCTGAATGACCTGTGACTGTGTGACAGTTGTTTGCTAATGTTTCTTGGGGAATTATAGTACCTATGTGCCAAGTAGGATGAAGGGGTATATATAAGGGCTGCCTAGCTTCTGAACTGTCTCCTCGTATGTGTGTGGTGTTCCTAAAATCCTTTTTTGACTGAACTAAGGACTGACTTACCTGAATTGTAGAACTGAACTGTGGCTGAATTGTGATTGAATTGAAGTGAACTCTGACTGAACTGAACTGTCAAATCAGACCTTATACCATGTCATCTGCGGATTCTAGTGTGTCTAGTGGGCCTTCCAGTCAAGGTGGAGTGAGTGGAGGATTTGACATGAGCTTCCCCATGGCTATGATACCGTTTGATGGTCTCAATTACCTAGAATGGTCAAGGGGAATCATACTGTACATCACTGTCAGGGGGAAGGTGGGCTATATTAATGTAGAACCAAAAAACCGAAGTCTTAGGGTGTAGAGCATGACAGGTGGAATCAAGAAAACAGCATGGTGATGTCATGGCTGCTACTTTCCATGCTGCTTCCAGTCAGGAAGACGTTCATGTGGGATGAAACAGCTGTTGAGATTTCGGAGCAGGCAAAATCTACTTATTCAGAGCAACGCCATTATGCCAAAATATATCAGTTGCAAGCTGCTTCCTCTACTTGTAAGCAGGGGGAGCGGAGTCTCTCATCATACTACTAAGATCTGACCTCGATATGGAAAGAACTGGACCACTATCAGAATATAGACTGGAAGTGTGATGCTGATGGTAAGGCCTACAAGTCTCTGGTTTCCCAGCAATGGGTCTTTGCCTTCCTCTTAGGGATGAACTCGGTATATGAGTCTCTTAGAGTTCAGATATTAGGAAGTAAAGAA